ATCAGACATCATTATACTCAATTGTTTGTAATCACTAGGCAGTCTGCATAGCTCATGACATTTGCAATAACATTTGAATATCTTTTTACACCTCTGTGCCTTGTATTTTCATTTCTTTTTCAAAAATGGTCTTTCTTCCCTCGCTCAAACTCGGAATTCACTATTTGTCTATCTCTGACATTCACAGTGATCTTTAGGGATATTGCTAAAAAGATTTAAAAAATGAAAGTGGTTCTCAGCTCTCCCTCTCTTCCTCTTCCTTCAGCTCTCAGGCTGTAGGCCCCAACTTCCAGCAGTGCCATGTTTTGATCACCATGAGACACTGTTGAATGCCATCGCCATGTCCTGCTGATGTCATAAGTCACCTCACAGGCTTTGTTCTGAGTAAATAGGGGGACCCTGTGTCCACAACTCCAGTCACTGAATGACAAATGCCATTGGTGACTTAACTTTGAGCTTCAGAGCTGCTTGCTTCTTCTTTTGAGGAGGCATGATGGATTGCCTGCCTACCAAGATGAGGCAGTTGATGGGAAACTCCACACCGTTCAGCTGATGGAGGTGGGCCTGCCTGAGGGTGATGAAAAGCCCATGGAAGTGGATGCAGAGGTGGAGGAAGAGCTGATGGAAGTAGATCAACCTCCATCAGGGCAGAACCATCACTGACCCATTGCTCTCAGGCAGTGAAGGAGGAGACCCAGAACCCAACACTACCATTGGAGTAGCGATGTGGGGTCCTTTTCACCCCCCCAAAATGGGCACCTCAGTGTTGGCACTGAACCTTCTGTTCCATAAATTCCTTGTTAGCCGAGGGAACCTCAACTTCAGGACCACTCTGCAGGCTCACGTGGGACATTCATTTCCTGGGAATTCTTCTTTTGGCAGTCAAAGCTCCCATGAGCCCATCCTTGTTGTCCTCTCTCCCTCCCTCACTATAAGACCTCTCATCTCTTCTTCACCAAGAGGAAGAAGGGAGGGCAGGGACTGGCATTCAGTGGGCTGCTGTGCCAGGGTGACAGGAGGATTCCAGCAGAGGGACCTGAGTTGCCTGGGGCTGCGAGGAGCTGTCAAAGTGACAAAGGTGGCTGTTCTCATAGAGAAGCAGAAGACTTTGGTTCTCATAGGAAAAAGGCTGGTGTTCAGCATGAGGGACTTCTTGTTCATTTGGACAATAAATGATTGGAAAAAAAAAAAAAAGAAAAACAGAATGAACAATACTAAAAAAAGCCTGAACCCACAAAAATAATCAAAATAATAAATGTTCCTCTGTTTTTTTGGAACTCTGTGGATTCCTGTGTTCCATCCTCATCTCCCCAGAACAGGAAAGACATTGCCATGTGGGTTGAGGGCCCATTCCAGGGCCTGGAGGAGCCGGGGAGGGGGCAGGGCACCTGGCATCCCAGGGCAGGCTGAAGGAGCTGCCTTTGGTCAGCATTAAGGACAGAAAGCAGAGGGGGGTCTGAGTGCTACCTACAGCTGCTGCTGGGAGCAGGGGGGAAAATGAAGCCTGGCTTTTCTCACAAGTGCTCCGTGGTGGTAGGAGGAGAAGCACCAAGCCCACACTGCAGCATGGACAACTCTGGAACTGGTGCCCAGTGGGGTTGGAGAGCACCATCACCCCTAGGGAATCCAGACTTGTCTGAGCTTGGCTGAATAAAAGTCCTCTGCAATGAAGAAAGGCTGTGAGATTTTAGCCTGCAGAAAACTGTTGGGATACTTTATTGCGGCCTTTTGATATATCTAGGAGTTTACAAGACGGAGAAGGACTTTTACTAGTGGCCTGTAGTGATGGGACAAGGGTTTAAAGCAAAAAAGGGTAAATTTGCATAGATAAATGTAAAGTAGAAATCCATCCCTATGAGGGTGGTGAAACAGTGGAACTGGCTGCCTAGGGGAGCTGTGGACGCCCAGTCTGTGTAAGTGCTCAAGATTGGGTTGGATGGGGCTTTGGAGCAACCTCATCCAGTAAAAGGTGTCTCTGCCCATGGTGGGGCATAGATGGTTTTAGAAGGTCTCTTCCAACACAAAGCATTCAATGACTCTAGGATTCTATAATTCTATTGGCATAGAGCCATGCTGAGACTGGCTTGTTTGGCCTCAGGTTACCTAAACTGGTCTTTGCTCACTCTGACAATAAACTGGTGAAGTTTTTCTTGCATCCTTATTGTGTAGTCTATATAGCATTTTTGGAGAATACTTGTAAACCACTTAGAACATTTCTGAACTTGGATAGAGTCTATATTCCACATGTCTAAGGAGTTTTGGCACATGAAGTATCTTAGATATACAGGGTGGGATGTTCAGATTGCCGAATCTTAATGAAGTCCTTCGTCATCCATTAGTTGATGACAGGTGTTGATGCATTCACACACAGGGTCTTGACTTCTGTCTTTCAACACCTATGTGTTACTATGGTGTTCTGTATGTATATTGTTCAAAGCAAATTTTCAGGTGCTCTTTTCCAAGCCTATCAAATCATGCTGAAACCTCCTCTGCTGTGCACACAATCTTCCCATCTTTGTCACAAAGTCAGTGTGAACTAATTCTTCAGTCTAGTTTTTGGTTCCTGTCTTCTCCAAGGGTATTTTCTATTGCTCGGGATATATAGTACACAGGAGTCACAGTTTAAACTGTGATCACACTCTATATAATCTTCTCAGAAGACTTCATTCTTTACAAGAAGCGGAAGGGTAAAAAGACTTTTGCCTTGCATGCGTAGGGCCTTGTATTGCACTAATATGAAGTGATTGGATGTGATAGACAGTAGTTTATCAAAACAAAATCTCATTAACGTCTGTTTGCACTTTGCTTTTACTCTCTTTTGTATAATATTATGGAGCTTTCTGTGACCAGACAGTAACCTGTGGTAACCTGTAGTGTGCGTACATTTGTGGGTCATGAATAAAACCATTGTTATCATCCTAAAATGTTGGCATCAATATTGTGCTAATAACATTAGGATATTTCTGCTTTATCAGCAGCAGTGACTGACAAATTATCAGTCGTTGTGTAATGGGAAGCTTAAAATAGCAGCTGAAGACATTTGAGTTAAGCTTCGTGGAAAAAGACACTGCTGCGTTTATTGTGATATCATTTTTGTTGTGTTAGGTTGACATGATTGTTGATTTGGCTTTTTAGACATACAGTGCAATTAAGAATAATCATTTTTCCCACACATTCCACAAAGCCACTGAAGCCCAAATGCTAATAGCCAGGCCCTGAAATTTCAAGTGACTTCCGCTGCTCCCCAGGCAGCCCACGGTGCAGACGCATGTCTCCTGGTGGCATGCAGCTATTGTGTGATCACAGCCTTCTGGCATAGATGTGAGTCTCAAAAGAAGCTGCTGATAAATAGTAAGCTGTTTCAGATTTGCCCATGTCACCAGTAAGAGTAGATTTTGGAGTGTGAAGAAATGGGATCTGTATGTAAGCGCATGTGGGTTTTGCAGTCTGTAACAGACATTCAGACTGGAAGTATAAAGAACGTGTAAAAGAATTTGTGTTTAGTGGAAGTGGTAGGTGGTCGTACCAATAAAAGCTATATTGTGTTACATATGCACACAGATGTGTGTGTTTACACCATAATTGGTGTGAAATGTATGCAGTCGCTTTTAGACTTCAGAGCATCAGCGAAAGCAGATCAGATTGGGGTACGGGGGGTCAGGAAATAGATCTTTTATACATAAAAGAGAAGGTAGTAAGGCTGTAGTGGCAGCTTTGGTTCATAACTATTGCTACTAAAAAGCATGCATTCTGAAAAAATCAAATGAATGTTTCTCACATATTGTTAGAGCAGGTTGTGTCATGACTGTTAGAAATCTGCATGTATATTAGCTAAAAAATGTTTATGCAATTATGTACAACTTTCTTTCTTGTATTCTTTTCCCCAACTTTTTCTCTGCTCACTGCTTTTCTAAGTGTGAGTATACAGTACCTATGTATTATGCATGCTTCTAGACTTTTACTGTCCTGTGGTCAAGTCAGTGACTGTTTTTTTTTGCATGCTTGGCTCTCAACGCTTGCTGAATCTCATCTTTATTTGCTATGAATCTTAGATCCAAGTGCTTAATTAAATCTCTGAAAAATACATTCATAAACATAATCAGTGACTGATATTATTTTTCAGGAAATGAAATGTAGAGGAAGTAAACAAATGCTAACCTAAATGCCATGTGCAGTTTCTTTCATTTCAATGGACATAATTTGCCACACAGAATTTGAAAACTTTGACTGAGTCAAGTGGTTAGAGACTACTGGCGTGGATGCAGTTGTCTCTGTTCAAAAGCTTGCAAATTGGACTGACATATTCCTGTTTGTGAAGTAGAATAAGCCGCACTGATGGGAGATGCTTATTATTGTTTCTACACTAGAGCACTTACCTATGTGGTTTTTTTTAGCCAAAATGTATAGTAAGAGTTCCAGCTTTGGATCAGGCAGTGTTAGCTGATGAGAAAATTGATCTGAGCGAATGGAAGATGTGTTTTGCTCTCTGTGAGACATTAATGTGAGTCACCATTAGTGCATGAGCTGTGCTGTCCTCTTCCACTGAAGAGCAAAAGAGGTTTTCCCAACTGCTTTTGATAACTGCAGCAGGAAGAAAGGAGAGGAGTGGAAGAAAGGAGAATCCATTTGCATTATCCATTGTTGGAAGATGCGCAGTGGGAAAACGCTCGGCTAATGCCAGTTACAGATTTTCTTGGTCCCAGTGAAAATCTTCAGTGGAGGTGATTTAAACATAAAGCATAAAGATGCAGTAATGAAGTTATTGTTAAATATATATATATATGTATATATGTGCATAAATCCTCAGTGCTAGAGAAGAATTTCTGTTTTCCCCAGGAGCTCAATCTTGGAAACACTGACAGGGAGCCACTTTTGTAGAAGTAGAGTCTGGATGGAAATGTTAATTTAAGGAAGGCATTTGAGCATTATTTACAAACTATCACCTAAAAGTTATATTTCATATTTTTGTCACAGCTGATCACCTCCCTTTGTTCTTCTAGGCTTTTAAGACCAAGGATGGTTACATCGTGTTGGCAGCTGGAAATGATCAGCAATTTGTCACTGTGTGCCAGGTAACGATATGTGAGGTTGCCAGTACAAAAATGTGTAATAACTTCAGTGCTATATAGGGAAGTAATTATTGACTGCTTCTTCATTACCCTCTTTTTTATAAAATAAATAAATTCAAACTCTCTGCTTCTAGCTGGTTGTTTATGGGACTGATGAAGTCCTGTGCTTTGCTTGTGTATTCAGAACACCTCAATTCCAAACTTAGTGGGTGCCAAGCCCCTTTTGAAGTCTGTGTCACTGCACTGCTAGTTTGCTAAAACATGAACCAGCCAGTAACCTTCCAGTTATGGAATGGTGAATGTCATGGAGATCGCACTGGTGCCTTTTTTAGGAGAAAATGTGACACTGTTTTCCATAATACAGTGGTAGACACAGTTACTAACACAGCCAGGTTAGTGGTCAAATATTCGTGTGCCACCTTAATAAGTAGCCAACCCTGTTGTCCTTTTGTGCGCTGCTATGTACTGGTCTGTGCTCACAGAGAATCTAGTGGACTTCTAGTGGAAAGAAACATTACAGACTGTGGGTTCAGTTGGCACTGCTACAGATATGATGTTGAAGAACAAAGCTTCAACAGAACTGCCACTTTTAAAGATCTGGTATCCTACTTCTTTGGCATTGAATAAACATGATTGTCTGGCAGTTCTTGAAAACTTTTAAATTAGTTCTGGATTTCTCACATATTCTTTTCCTGTGGCTTTAATGCCTGGAATTGTTTTTCCCTGAGCTGTGAATACATATTAGAAGAGAAGGAATGACTGTAGGGAACAAAATTGTTCGTAAAAAAAGAATAGTAATGTTCCAAACAAAAGACCCCACTGACATGTAGGCTAGTAGAAGAGAAGTATTGCATGTAGTATTAGACAGCATTTTTTAAAATGAGAGTTCTGCCTTTTTCCTGTCATTGTGTAGTTTCTCTTGGAACTTGGATGTTTGGCTTAAACTAATCGCGTTGAATGAGCTGTCAGCCTCAGGAAATTGAGCATTATTTTCTTCCATTTGTCCACTTCAGCCATTTCATATTTCTGTGGATGCTAATGACTAATAACTGGAACATATAGTAAGAAGCTAGTGAAGTTGTGATGTTCTGGAGCTATCTTCTCTCTTGGTGTGCTTTGGGCAACATGTGCATGCACAGCTATCTGGAGGGATCTGCTTTCTTTTGCTTGGATTACCTTTCTCAATAAGTATCAAAGTAACCTCTTCAAAGGTTGCTCAAAGGGTTTTCTTCATATGCATGGCAAACCACTATAGCATGACCACTGTATTAACATGAATAAAGACTAATGACTGAACAAGCATCTAAATGCCACAACGCTGTTTTATCAAGAACTGATTGTCCCCTAAAATAAGTATGTCCAGAAAGCTCTAGAACATTACTTTGAATGTCTTCTCAAGTGCTTTATCACCTGAACTTACACACCCAGTGTTAGTTATCATGCCATCCTGTACAGCTGAAAGTCTGTCTTGGTCATTTCCAACACTATGGTGTGAGTTAGAATGCTTCAGGAATTCAGGCCATGCTTTCATGTCACTTTAGGTTGCAGCTGAGAGAGTTATGGTGGGGCTGGCTGCTATGTACTCTCTCCTTAAGGAGGTGTACTGGTGCACCAGTAGATGAGGCTATGATTTGTATTACTGCAGAATCTGAAGAGCTTGAAGTTAAGTGGGCTCTATTCAGCAGGCTGCTGATTCTAGTATTTCTGGAATTGAAAGGAGGAAATATAGCACATGGAAAAATTACAGTTATTTGCATTTCAAAGAGAATAAGCTATTGGAAAATTTAGTTCAGGTTGTAGGTAGTGGTCAGTTTTGTCTATAAACCAGCTGTCTTACCTGAGTTTAAAAAGAACATTCCTTTTTTTTTTCCCCTTACTGAGTTCTTGTACGTATGGATTTTAGACTGTTAAATTGCACAGAAATTGAAGAATGTGGAGGTCAGTGGAATGCTGTGAAAACTGTTAGAGGTATGTTCTGTGTTAAGGCAAAGGTGATTTGGAGCTTAAAACACAGTGGAGGGAGAGCCAATAAAGGAAGAAGACTTTATAACAGGAAGGCCCTCAACACCCTAATGAACCTTTAGTAAATACAGAGGCCACTAATTCAAACATTGGGATTGCTTTTAGAAAACTTTTTTGGGATGAGTTGGTGCTGAAAATACAGAATTTATGGGAGCCGTTGCCCTGAAGGCACATACTCAAGAGATATAACAGCTGTCTCAAGCTGTAAACAATTGCAAACATTCTGCTTCAACCGTATCTTTTCTGACAGGCAGTTAGCAAGTACGAAAAAAAAAACCCCAAAACTGGAATAATTTCAGAATCAGTGCAAACTAACTGTAGGTTGTTTGGGGACTTGGGGATGATTGCTGAAAAACTTTGTAATGCTGCTGGTTGAAGCGCATTTCAAAGCAAGCAACTGTTACTAAAGCACATCCTGGCATGTGGCTGCTTCAGTCTAAATAGGAATACTGAGCAAGAGTCTTCAGAAGACTGTGCTTTTGTGTACAGCAATGAAGAGTGCAGTTTTGGGGGGAAAAATGCAGGGTGTAAACTCTGAATGTACATCCTACATAAATCTTCACTGCAGAGGCCAACTATTCTGCAAGTGAGGTTGCAGGAGAAAGGAAGAACAGTTTTCATTGTAAGTGGTCAGAGTGAAATGAGGACGATAACTTTGGTGGCACAGTACAGATGAATGGCACATTAACAAATAGCTTAGCAGTATGCATTTGTTGGACACCAAATTGAGAACATAACAGTCACACTGCTTTATAAGAGATGGATATTAAGTTGACACTGAAGTCAGTAACATTAATTAAAACAGGATAATGAGCAACTCAATGTGTTAGTTTTTCATGTAGCATCAAATGAAGCTATAATTTTCTGACAGATTTCTCAGTTGCTTATGGTCTTGTAAATAAGTATTCACTGACATTTTCTGAATTTTTTTACATTGTTTTTCTACAGCAGTTATTTTCAATACCAAAATAATTGTATCAACAAGAGGGAATAATTTAAAGGGGGAACCAATAATATTGTTAAAGAAGAAGAAAAAAAGTTTCTAAAAAATTTTCTAGAAGAGGAAAAAGTTTTTTAAAGCTAGATTGTGTTATGCCATGGTTTTCATAAGCTGTATGGAAATAAATAAAAAAGGCAATATAAGCAAATTAAATGTTGATGGAAAATTGATGCTTTACGTTATCTTGCAAATAAAAATGTGCAGAAAAGATATGCAGTATGGTCCTGGTTCTAACATAGCTTTGTTGATACCTCTGTTTCCAGTCTCAATTTTGTCACTCTGGGTGACAAACAGGCTGAGGATGGCTATCGGTATTGAATGTCTCTGAATGTCTTTTGAAAAATATTGACCTCATCATCAGCTATTCACTTGATACTGAAGCCATATCTATATTCTTTCCAGTGAAGTGAGGAGTCATTAAATGGTAGTGACCTTGGTCTGAACCCATCTTGAAGGAATTAGTATAAATATGAGTGAGGTTCAAGGGAGGCTGACAACAATCTGTGTATCACTAGCATGTGGCTGTGCACAGATGTATGAATTCAAGGAGTGCCTAGGCAAGTTAATAAAAGGAAAATCCATTGAGGACCACTAAATACATGACAGTCTCTTTCTTTATAAGCTTCTTTTCTGCCTTCCTCTGTAGCTGATGTTACTACGTTATGTTTTATTCAATTGTAGAAGTGAAACTTATTTTATTTATTTATGTTCTATATGAATACATTATTGCATGTGTAAATAAATTACATACTAGGTATTGGTAGTCCATACAGCTAATCTGTCTCATAAATGCCCTTACACAGAATCACAGAATTGCAGGGGTTCGAAGGAACCTCTGGAGATCGTTGTGTCCAACCCTCCTGCTAAAGCAGTTTCCTTAGAGCAGGTGGCAGAGGAAAGTGTCCAGGCAGGTTTTGATTATCTCCAGAGAAGGAGATTCCACAACCTCTCTGAGCAACTTGTTCCAGTGCTCTGTCACCCTCAAAAAGAAAAATTCAAACACTTATTCTTGACTTATTTAATTCCATTTATAATGCAATTCACATTGCCTTTTCTTGACAGTTAAATTTTTGGTGTACCAGGTAAGAGTTAAAAATAGAAGATGTGTTTTTCCTTTCTTGGAGTTTATACCACCAATTTTCTTTGTCGATTCTTTCTGAAAAAATTGTAAAGACAAACTATGACATTTTTTCTTTTTGACAGAACTTAGTGAAATGAAAAGAAAAAACATTCTTAAACATGGCTTTTCTTGGTCTAGCATAGGAAGCACAGTCCTATTTATTTTCCTGTGAGTTGTAACTCATTGTAGGATAATCCTACAGATCTCCCCAGCAGAACAGTAATAACTTACAAATGTTTCCATGTTCTGCAGTATGATCACAAGAGTCTCTCCAAGGTAATAGTGACTAAGATTTGTTCAGTTCTTTGCTTTTTCTGTACTTGTTGTGTAACACTGAACAGGAGTCATTGTTTTTTCTTAATTTCCTAATCTAGATGAAATAGTAATGAGAAGTAGTGCTTTTTGGAAAGATATCTTAGTTCTTAAAGAATGTGCTCAGCTTTATAAATGTTTCCTACCAACCATATTTCTTTCTCTCTTCTATTTTCTCTTAGATCCTGAATCTGCCTGAAGTCATTAAGGATTCCAAATACAAAACTAATGAGCTGAGAGTCCAGAACAGAAAAGAACTTATTGACATACTGTCAACTCGGTGAGTTCATTGGAAGAGAAGAAATGGTATTTACTCTGTTAACGCAAACAGCCAAGTACAAGGAGCCCTCATCGTATGAAATTTTTACTCTAATCTTTGGAAATACTTTTACGTTTGGGAAGTATTGAGAACACTTTTCAGATGTTAAGTATACTGTCTTTTGCACACCAATTATCACGTGGGCTGCTAAGAGGCCAAGCCATAGTTCTGAGTTTCTAGAAATCATTTAACTTATTTTTAACCATGAGTTCATTAACTTAAATTTTAGTGAAACAATCAGTGTGTTTTGCCTTTATGCCAGTGTCACTGCTGGGAATGAAATGCTTGGAGCATATGTTGCTTTGGCTGTCACTGGGGTTTTAAAGTTTTCACAGTGAGTTGCTGTATCCAAGGGATTTTCACTTGATGCTACTCTCTGTAATGGTTCTGTATTGTGGTTCTCTGAGCCTCAAATTCTCCCTGGGCAAATCCTTTTGAAATAAGAAAGACATGTACTTGCTGTTCTCCGTGAGAATCATCCTAATAATCGCTTTAGTTAAAGATGGTATGGAACAAAACTCGGGAATCTTTTAATTGAGACTTAAAATAGTGTAGCTATCATCCTCATACTGGCTGAGAAGACCTTTGTTCCAGGTGACTTTGCGTTTTTCAAATGACTGTGGTACAACTGAGCTGATTGTGGTAACTGAAATGGCTGTGGTAACAAATGAACTTTTAGAACTTCTCCTTTATGTGCCTTCCAAATGCACTGTGGTAGCACAGCGTAAACCAATCTTCATTTTTAAGCACTTTGAAGGGGATAGATATCTTTTGAAGTACTTTTTACCCCTTGCGTTATTTGCGCTTAATTCTAGTTTCAAAGCTGATTCATGCAAACTCATTAGTTGAAGTTCGTTTCGTTTAATACTCCGGTATGTCCGACTCAGAGATGTTTTGCCATCCACAGATAAATGTGGTTAATTCTGAATGCTGTTATTTATTTATTTATTTTAAAATAGACAATACCTTCGTAAGAAACTAAACTTCAAGGCACATTTCTTCTTTGGCTGAATTGCCAGATTTCTCTCTTCTTTTTTTCTTTTTTTCTTTTTTCTCTTGAGCTGTTAGTTCATCAGATTACCTCATTGCTGTGTCATTTACTGCAGTGTATCTTCTTTTTGGTCGGAGTTTATCTTGTTCTATTAGCAACACCTAGGCTGAATTTCTGTGTAATTCATGTGCAAGTACAGCTGTGAATGTGTACAAGCTTTTGGAAGTAGGTGCTTCCAATACTATTGCATTATGTCACGATACTGTGAATTCATCTGGGTTTCATTTTTGAAACACTGACTTTAGCAAACATCTTTGACATTCACTGAGGTTGAATGTGTTTCCGTACACGTTTCTTGGTAACTTTGCTTTTATTCACTTACGCACAGTTGTTTGTAAAATTATATGTAGTTCATTTTGAATTTTACTTGGAGTATTGAATGAACAGTTTGTCAGTGCTGAAAAATGTCAGCCCTTGAGAGATAAAGGGAAATGACAAAACAGTAATGGCATAATTTCACTGAAAAATATCTTAATTAAGTCATCGATTGCTTGATTGTATTGTGGCTTCCAAAACATTGAAAATATAAACCTAAGGTGCCTTAGTTAGAAAGAAACACCTGCAGGCCCTCCCTCACTATATCTAAATTACTCTCCAACTTATGTTGAATTTATGGCAACCATACCTGGAACAGCTTAAAAGAGTTGTGATTGTCATAACAGCGTATTCTACTACAATCACTTCAGTGGAAATGAACCCTTGTGTGATGGAAGCTGAAAAGGAACAGGAAAGTCTTTTGAGGATTTAGGTCATTTATCCACGTCTCATTTTGATGCTGTGCCAGGCAGGTTGCCTCCAACCTGAGGCAAAGCAGCTTTTTTCAGTGATGTTGCAATGGAAAAAATGAGCCACTTTGTTTGATCTGTCAGGCTGAGCACTAAAAAGCATGTAAAAATTTGCATGTATGTATGAGAATCTGGTGATTTGCATGGCAGATACCTGGTTGCTTGGCTATCTTGTTGCTGTTGCAGTGTGCATATGCTTACTTACTTTCCAAGCTGTTGAGCTGAGATCCCACCAGAGCCTAGACTAGGCTTCTACTGACTGTAATAACCTGTCTCCAGAGTTATGAGTTGTGTATTTATCTCCTTTTTTTCTTCATTCTCAAAATAGTCTAACTGCAATTCATGTCTACCTCCCGAGTGCTTAGTAAGTAAGCAGGAACAAGGATTCTTAACATCCTTCTCTTACAGAAAAGGACTTCCAGGCTTTATTTAGGAGATGTTCAGACCTGCTCAAAAGGTCAGGAAGTCCCAGAAGTCCTGAGTGTTTAATTCACTGCATGTGTAGAGTTGAAATTTTTAAAAACATCTGAAGTCTGAATACCAAGGAGACAGTTGATGCCTTTCTTTTTCTAGGGTAAATGTTAAGCAATTGAGATTTTTTAGCCACAGTCTGATTCTGGAAGTGTGTACAAAGGAAACATTGGTACAATTGGTCAACGTTAAGGAATGCTGTTTTTTAAAAGAAAGCTGTATCTTGGGAATTCTTGACTCAAATGACCTATAATTTAGGTTCTACTCACCACCTGCAGTAACCATGCCAGATTTTAAGGCAGTTAGATAAGCGTGGGGATTATATAGCACTTAGAAAAAAATGACCTTTAAGCAGCAGAGTTTTCAGAAAGGTTTGGAATGATCTATTCATCATGGTCAGATGTCCTGAGCTTAGTGAGAATTCGAGGTGGGGATGAATATTGTTTAAGACATAAATGTAGCCTGAAACAACACTTTGAGAGGTGTGAATTGCTCCATTCATTTCAGAAGGAATTTTCTCATCCCTTCTGTCCCCCGAGAGATCTGAAGAGGGAGGCACATCTGTCCTCAGCTCTTCACCCCAGTCTCTTGCATGATGCCTGCTACCAGAATCTCAGCTCCCTCCACAGAGGACACATGAAAGATAAGAAGGGGAGAGCAGGTTGGGGAGATAAATTTGTACGGCCATAAAGGCAGTCAGACCTCAATAAAAGGGATCAGCAAGTTGACCTCTCTGGAATGATAAGCGTATTCTGAAAGACCCGGCTCTCACACTGAGTAAGAAGAGGGAATTACAGAAACCAGCCCTAGAAATCTTGAGAGGGGCAGTGTTTTCATTTCCCATCTTATGTGGGGAAGTGAGTACAGTGCTGCAAAAACCAACGGGTTGTAGGATATTGACAAGGAAGTACCCCATGGGGCATTTTGTACTTGCTTTGCTACTGTTATTTCTGCTGTTATCCCTTTCCCATCTATGCTCCCCTTTCCTGCTGGGCTCTTTTTTTCCTGTCCTTATCTTCTTTCTCCACTTCCTACTGCTCCCCTCATTTAGTTCTTTCTCCATCCACTGCCCTTGTGTGATTTGCACAACCACATTTGCTTTAAAATATAATTAAAAAAAAAAAAAAAAAAAAGTGTTTCAGTGCCTTGTGCATCTTCCTCTTTATTTAGATGATGTTTTCCCTAAATGGCAACAAAGTAGAAGTCTGTCATAAGCAAATCGCCTCTGAATGTGTCTCTTTCTTGGATATGCACCAAGAGTCAAATTTAAATGACCCTACCTGGGTGGAGGTTAGATTCAATGGCTACTGCAGAGTCCCCTGGGACTCCCTGCTCATGTGAGAACTGACAGACTACAGAGTGTTTCGGTTTTTATGTTTCCAGTGGAAACCTCTGGTTTGTGAGTTAGATGCACACCCATCCATGAGAACCAAATTTTAATTATGGCTTCCATCCCCCCACCACTTTTCCTCTGCTTTCACCTTTGTTTCCTCTGGAAATGAACAGTACCAGACAAAACATGGCTTATTTTGTGTATATAAATAGAAACATAGATACACATGCTGTGACATACATATGTAGTGTACGTATGTGATTTGAGACACAGCTGTGCGAAAGATGGTGTAATGCCAGTTTTAAGAAGCTGTGTTAGTGAAGGGAGCTCAATCTGTTGACCTCCTTCAAATTACTCTGGAATTTGAACATTAATCCTACTCTGCACCACAGTAACGTAGATACATTTTAAGACAGTACAGCTAAACGTGTAGCACAGAGTATTTGGGAAATTAACCTCTAAGTGGAACCGAGTGCGTGAGGTTGTAGGAGTGAATAGCAGGCATTCCTCAGCCTTTAAAGCAAAGCAGCTAGGGTAATAAGGAACACATAAATTCATCATGATTAGTGCTCCTGCAGCTAAAGCTAAATGAATCCACACTGTTTCGAGAGCTAAGTTATTGTAGACTTGAAATCAGAAGTGTTAGGGCTGGAAACGGCTCACAGTGGAACTTCCATTCCTAGCACTTGCATTTTAAAGCCCTTATTCTTAACTGCACCACAGCTGCACGTTGTGTATATAAGCGTGAGGGGGAAAGGAATTAGTAAGAAGGAAGCACAGTGGAATCTGATCTCCCAGTTAATGAGATCTTTGCTAAATTGTTTCCACCTAATAGCAGAAGAGGAGGGTGCTTGAAAGCGTGTTTGTAAGATGTGTGATTTGCCTGACAAGGAGCGCATTTTGTGAGACACACCCAATGTCTGTAAACCACCTTCCTTATCAGCAGCCCTTCTTCTTCTAAACCTATAGCCCTGTGGGCTGAAGTCACTGTTGGTAACTTTACAGAATGGATATCTCTTCAGCAAGGTAGCTGCCTGAAATCGGAAAGATGCCTGAGCTCAATGAGAGCAGCTGGTGAGGTTTGCTTTCCCTCGTCATCTGCTTCACCTTTGGTGCATAGATGCCTTAGCTGTATGGAAAGCAGCTTTGAAGCTGCCATGATTTGTCTGAAAATTATTTGTTTTAAATTGTCATTAGGTTCACATTAACTTTTATGAATTGGACTGTAAGAGAGATCCTAAATGTCTCAAACTTTTCAACTGAGAACTGGATAAGCTAATGAATATTTTCTTTATTCTTATTTTTCTCACTATTTATTAAG